CACAAACACACACACACATATATATATATATAAATGCGTGCGCTTGGCTTGCACATCGTGGCACACAGTCACGTGTGTGTATTGATGATCTTTGAGTTGTTGTTGTCGTGTCTGTATTGCTGCAACACAAACACACACACACATGTACATATATATATATATACATAGTGCGTGGAGAGAGTCCACACACGCCGCATACCCGCACACACACACATGCACACATATAAAAAAATGTGCACGTGTGCGTGCGGGCACGCGTGTGTGTTGCCCCCTCTCCAGGCCTACACAACGCATCGGTTGTTGGTAGTTGACCTCTTTTTTTGGATGAAATTCCTCGAAATGCGGCGACAATCAAGTACCGATTTCTATTCAACCAAGTGTTCACAGCTGCAAACAAACGGCAGCCCACACAGAGTTCAGCACGCACGAACAGGACATATACATATGCCCCTTTCCCCTGGTATGCTATTGGCCAAGAAACGCACAACACACACGTCTACATATATAAATGTCCGGTCTGAGGGGTGCTTTGTGATTTTGCAACAGCATCGCGTCGCGAACCCCGCATATATATATATACATATATATATGGCAGGGCAGCTGCGAAGCAGTCCTCTCCCTCCTCTACGTGCACAAGGCGCATATATATACATAGTAATAAACATACACACATATATATACCACACGTGGGCTCGCAAAAGAGAAAGAGAATCGCACACTCGCCATCATGTCGGTTACGTGGATGCATATGAATACATATATATATACAATATATATATATACACATATGTGCGTGTCGTAAGAAAGCATCGAACAGGTCCGTGGTGGCGACACACACGCAAACACACTGTCCCCCCCAAGCAAGTGGGGAGGACAGGGCCAGCGCGCGGCGCACACTCATGTGTGATATGGGTTGGTTCGTCGTATTCGCCGTGTTTGCGTTTTTGCCTCTTTGGTACGGTTGAAAAGCGTAACTCGCACAGACTCGGCATCCACACAGCGTTTCGACTCCCCTTCTGAAGAGAGAAAAGCGCGGGGACGGACACCCCACACCATATGCTCTCGGTTTGATAAACACATATACCCCTCCCCCGAGAGGGCGGCGACGCAAAGGGCAAAAGAGACTATATATTACGGAAGCAGCAGCGCATATGCATATTATATATATTATATATAATAGACACACGCACAGCCCCGGCGGAGAGGGCGTGGAAAAAAGCCGTCACACAAAAAGCGACGGCCGCGCGACT